AGGCCCGCTCCCGCCCGTGCCGGTAACCCGACGCGTCTCTTTTCCAGCCAAGTCCTGATTCGGAGCAGAGTCCTTCGGGAAAACGGGAAATACATTCCGAAACAGGTAGGGATTGTGCCAATGGCTTTGTGCCTTACCAGGAGGGTAACTGGGAACTCGCAAAGTGAGAAGCGGGGTCAGTGCAGTGCCGTCGTTAGAGACGCTCTCAGGTACGGGGGCAGTGGCTGCATTAGTGCCCTGGGGTGACACAGTCGGGCTGGGTCCCCCCTCAGCCCAGAGCAGTGTCTGGAAGTGCAGTCGGTAGCAGCTGCTTAGGAAACCTGGACACAGGACCACGTCTCTTCCCTGATGTTAACATTGGCTTCCACCACTCAGTGTTTTAACTGCATACTAAAATGAAGTTTGCATCCAAACCATCGTGTTTAGTATCTGCCAAGAAGTACACAGAGATTTAATAAGAGCTTGGGATAACGAGGGGGTCATACAATGTCAGCTGTAATGTTTGCTGCCAAATATGTATACTGTGTGATCCAGAAGTCAGCTCAGGGGATTGAAAATGCCAGATATACTGGTATCAGTACTGAGCAAGCAAAAACTTTACACAAAGCACTAAACGCTCTTTAATCAATGTGGATTCTTCTTCAGATAATTCTTAGACTTTCTTTTAAGAATTTTAGAAAGGCAGAGAGCTGGTACTCTGGATCCAGGGAAGGAAGAAAGCGAGAAGCTTTAAAGCACACAGGCACTTCAGGGAAGAAGGATGTGTTACGAAAGAGCTCATAAGATGTCTGCACGTCTGAGCAAGAAGTGATGCGTCTGTCCTTTCATTTCATATGGTGTTGACATTGGGTCTTTTTAATTTCAGTCTTTCCTGACCCGGAAATATTTTTTTAATAACCCAGAGGATGGATTTTTTAAGAAAACAAAAAGAAAGGTAGTGCCTCCTTCACCAATGACAGGTATGTTGAGTTACTGTAAATATGGCTGGCCAAAAAATTATAATTTGGTGCCAAGGTAGCAAGGTGAAGCAACTTTGCAAAGAGCTCAGTGAATGTGAGGGAGGGGGCGGGACTGCAGCTGGGTATTGGGTAGGAGCGGGGAGCGAGACCCCTCTCTTTGGTAGTTATGTGTTAGGTCACTGCCTCTTGCTTAACTTCAGCCTCTGGCTGCCTGCAGCATCTTGCAAGACCACGGACACCTCGGTGTTGCCAGAAATGGGAAGTCTTGCTCTCATGTGGGTCTTTTTGTAGTTTTTTGTACCAGCTCCTGCAGGGCCTTCTCTAAACTGATTTAACATGGCCAGGAAATCAGCTGGATAGGTCATTGTCCCTTTTCTAGTTAAATCAGCTCACGGAGAGGTGCAGCAAGTTCAGCAAGCCAGAGCAAGGAATGGTCAGACACAGCAGAGAACACAAGACCCTTTTGGTAGCAGCAGCCACTGCCACACTGGCTGCTCACCCCACTTTGGGAAGTATTTTACAAGAGTGGAAGATAATAGATATGGGACAGATAGTGGGATAGGGCTGATACCTCTCATGCAGTTTCTTAATTAAAATAACTGGAGTTTGGAAAGTAATCCCTTCATTGTGATACACTGCTGCTTTACATCAAATCTTCAAACTGCAGATCCTACCATGTTGACAGACATGATGAAAGGGAATGTAACCAACGTTCTGCCAATGATCCTCATCGGTGGCTGGATCAACATGACATTTTCAGGATTTGTAACAAGTAAGTTTCTGGCGTACTGTGTATTGCAGGGTGTACACATCAAAAATACTTCCTTAAATTCAGAGTTGTGTTGTTTTGGGGTTTTTTTACTGTTTATGTGCTGTTTCCTTATCAAAAAGCATTCCTCTTCACAGTCACTTTGAACTTGATTCGAGTTTTTAAGTCTTTTAATATTAAATACAGAACTACATCTTTTTTAAAAGTACATGTTGTTATTGTATGCATTGCTTTCAGACTACATGAGATTTAATAAAAGAATTATCTACTTGCTCTGAAGTTTGCTTTGCAATTACATGATGTTACTTTGTAAAACTGGGCTTGTTTGTTTTTTTTCTAATCCTGTAGCAAAGGTCCCATTTCCTCTGACGCTGCGTTTTAAACCAATGTTGCAGCAGGGAATTGAACTGCTCACTTTAGATGCGTCCTGGTAAGCCAGTGGCCTCAACAAGCAAGGCTGAATATTCACTTGGAAAATTTTGAATGTGCTAATAACCCTTGAACGGTCTGTGCATGCTTCTGAAATGAGACCATGAGCCAGCTTTGAACTGGCATCAACCATGCTTGTTCTCATTTATCAGGGTAAGCTCGGCTTCCTGGTACTTCTTGAATGTGTTTGGACTGAGAAGCATTTATACTCTCATCCTGGGCCAAGATAATGGTAAGGCACTGCCGTTTCTGTGAAAGAGCTGCCTTCTCCTTCCATGGGATGGCTTCCGAGGGAGGCTGGGGAAGGATTTCTAAATTTCCAGCCAAAAAGCTCTTGAAAGTCTCTCACTTCTGTGAGGTTCCTCTCCACGGGCCAGGTTTGACATCTCCTGCAAGTACCCAGGTCTTCTGCAGCAGCCTTTGGCTAACCGCTTGTCAACTGCCGCAGTAATTAACCCATGCTTTTCTTCTCATCAAATTGAGGTGCAGAATTCTGCTCTTATGCTTGCTTTTATATCTGATAAGGATTGGTATTAAGGAAAGCTGAAAAGATTTCTTAATGCCAGATGTGGGGCAAGACAGATGTTTCTGGGGTTATTTGGAATGCAGAAGACTGTATTTTCTTTCATTTGCATATTTTATGTAAATTTAGCAAAGATATAGGGGGTGGGAACAAGATCTCTTGAGAGAACTGTTTCTGGCACGTTAGTATTGCATTCTGGGTGGTTTGGAAATTTGCTGGTTTACAGCAGAAACCAGCATGGTGACACCGTGCTCCAAGGAGTGCTGTTTAAATGACACAAATAAGCATCAGCCCATCATTCCTCTCTCGTAGCTGCAGATCAGTCTAGAGTGATGCAAGAACAAATGACAGGAGCAGCAATGGCCATGCCAGCAGATACTAACAAAGCATTTAAGGTACAGTATTCCCACCCGCACTCCTGTTTGCTGTGAACTCACAGCATTGTAGGCTATATGTAACTCAGCCTCTCCCTCCATCAAGCAAGGGAATTGCTCTGGATTCCTGTGCCTGAAATTAGAGCTGACAACTGATGAAGGGTATGGAAGTTGCCCTGGGTCTGGCAGGGTTCTGATACCCTGAAGCAAGCCTAATTAGTTATTCCTGATAAAAAAGCTGAATTCACGTGCCATCGTCTGCTTTTGCAGAGGAAGATTTTTTCTTTCCCGTTGAGATATAGTTCCAAAGCAGAAGCTGGCTCCCAAAAGGTTGTGACAGTAGTGCAGCTGAGCACAAGTCCAGCAGGCACATGATGGAACTTGGGTAAGAAAATCAAGTAACCAAGTTAGCTCAACGGAAAATCTGTCAGGATTTGACTGCATCTTGAAGTTCTCCTAAGCAGTCTGCATAGGCGTTTGCTTATTAGACTGCCTTCACCTTTCACAACTCTTTCCACATTATTCACTGTGAGCAACACTTACTGGAGTAAGAGGAGGAGAGATCAGTGTTCACAGGTGATGGAAAATGAGTAATGGGGGAGATCATTCTCATATTTAGGATGAAATTCTGTTCTTAGGCCTCAAGCTGCTATGAACACCTGGCTTAATAAACTGCAACAAGCTGCAGCTCCAGGAAGCTCGCTGGTTGGAGAACAGTCTAATGAGGCACATCAAGTCTGTGATCAGTTGCAGAATTCTTGGCCTGTAACTGTTTTTATCAAATAATTAACTAACCACAAAGCACTTTACTCCCCAGAACAGAATTGGCTGTGTTTCTAGAGACAGCTCTTTTAGAAGAAATTCAGAATACTATTCCCAAAGGTTAGAGGATTTCTGAAAAGCAACTAATGTAATTTTTTCTGATTTCTGTAATGTACTTTTATTGACCAGCTATACAATACCCAGTGAAGCATAAAACACTGATTTCAGAGAGTTGACAGGACTACCAGGTTTTTAATAGCACTTGGTTTTTGTTGTAGTTTTAAGGTAAGCATTGCTTTGCATAGTTCTGCTTTACTTTAATGCTACGTGACTTTCTTTTCTCTATTTCTGTTTATTACCAATGCAGACGGAATGGGAAGCTTTAGAATTGACTGATCATCAGTGGGCCTTAGAAGATGTAGAAGAAGAGCTCATGGCAAAAGACCTCCATTTTGAAGGCATGTTTAAGGAAGAGCTTCAGACCTCCATCTTCTGAATTTGAAATTATGCTTTTGTCTTGTAAAAGTCATTTGAAAATAAACATTACTTAAAACCACATAGTGTATTTTCACAAGGCTGAGAATAAAACACCACGTTCAGACCTGCAGTTCCCTAACTCTGATTTGAGCCCCAGAACCACGTGTGCTGTGTTTGAGCCAAAGGCTCTGGGAGTGGGTTTCTCGTGGGAGTTCTGTTTCAACTCCTGGGGAAGTTACACTGGAGAAAAGGCCTAACATTTCTAGTTCCAGTACACAAATAGCAAGCTTGCTTGAGCAACTTAAAGCTTTACAAGACTGGAAAAGTACAAAGAGTGCCTATGTTTCTGGTTTTATCCTTTTACACACACACATAGGCAGTTACCCTGTGCTCTTGAACAATTAAGACATCGTGATGTTAGCAATTCAAAACTGACCCGGTGACAAAGTATCTAACACATCTTCAGAAGCAGTGTGAGGATTCAGCTCCTGAAAGCAGTGGTTGTCTTTCCTCTATACTCTTTTCCGGTTAAAAGAATCAGGATTCCTGCTACAATGATTTCTTCTTTCTCAGAAGAAAAGCAAAGCAGTATCTCACATACTCTACAGTTGCCCACATCAAAGCATGGGGCAGCTCACCTTTCTCTCATACCGAAGTCTGCACCAAGGTTCCCCAGTGCTGCAAAAAGCCATCTGCCTCCTTCTGCCCTGGTCAGCCTGCTGGTGGACACGCCGCTGGTCACAGGGCAACTTCTGGCCCCTGCTTTACTGCTTTAGGCCCTGGGCACTTCCTGCACTGTGAAGAACAGGGAGCAACTGTTCCTGGCTTGTCCATCTGCAGGAGCTCTCCTAACCAGGGGAAATGCTTCTGAAAGAGAAACTCTTCCATACTCTGTGGCCACTTTATTCGGAGCCCTTTGTTGCAGGATGAAATTGCACACCCTCTTCAAAGCAGGAGCCGAGCCAGGACTGAGACACAGCCGGTTTTCTGTTCTTGCCAGAAATCGTCTGAACAGGAGCCTTAGCTCAGAGATGCTCTTCTCTACCTCAGACAGCTCTTTACTGAGTGCCAGTAACAATGATTCACTGACAACACAACTAGAGTTTTAAGTTATTTTTTCCTCCCTTGTGCAATAGGGAGTTTCATTTCACTTCATGCCCTTCATGTTCTTGCACAAGTTGTTCCTGCACGCCTGGACACTGGCACAGAATACCCAAATGCCTCCACATCCAAAAGCTGCCACTTTGCTTTCCCCTCCTCCCACGATGGGTTTCATGCCATGCTTTGGAGATCAGCACCTCACAGCCAGGCTCACCATCTGCTGTCCTACATTAAGGCACTCCAAACCCTCTCAGAGGCTCCAGCTGAGGTCAAGCTCCTCCACTGCAGTCACGACATGAAGACTTCAAACCTTCTTACTGGGGCTTCACAGCCCACCCTGACCTGTGAGATTTTGACAATCCTCAGATTCCCTGCATGCACATCAAGGTTGAAATGCACTCCAGTCTGCTGCACTCAACTTCTTCAGTCTTTTCCAGCCTGCTCTCGTAAACTTGTT